TATTAATTTTGTACTTAAAATATTCTAAAAGAAACATAACAATATTGTTTTATGTACTTTCACTTTTCACGTATAGTATAACTACTCTTTAAGATTAAGTACTGTGTATCTCAAAAACCAGAGCTAATGAAAATTTTTCATTGTTATTTTCGTTTTTATCACCCCAAAATTAGTAGAAATTGACTAATTTGGTATAGGAAACATTCAAAAAATATTTTTTCGTTGTGTTGTGATTGGTCAACCCCCGGTGAAAACGAAACAAAATTATCCAGCCTACTTTGATGGTGCACTGATGAAGAAAATTTGAACTGAAGCAAAATTTTGGTGTAAGTACAAAAGAGATGGTGACATTCACGCTCTTCACGAATTCAAACGTTTTTGGGCAGAAATCAAAAAAACCATTAGAGTAGTTTATAAAAAATTCATTCAGAAAATTGAGAGCGAGATTATTCAAATCCCCAATGAGTTTTGGTCATTGATTAACAGTTCAAAATGTACGAATGGAATCGGAGATAAAATGTTACATGAAGGCGAACAACAGTAGTGATATTCCCAGCCTGATGATTAAAAACTTTAGTATTGAAGATATTTATCATAACCTAAGATTGTGCCTCAGCTCTGGTTGAACCACTAACAACTCTAATTGATATATGCCTGAAAACATCAACTATACCATCAATATGCCCAAGTTTCAAAAAAGGAGACGAAAGTGAGATACAATATTGGAGACCAATTTCTTTCAAATGCAACTTTTGTAAAGTGTTTGATGCTTCTTGAGAAGATAAGCTACTGTCATTTCAGCAACATTATCAGCCCCAATCAACACGGTTTCATAAAAGGACGTTCAACCATCACCAATCTTGAACAATCACTCAATGTATTGCGGAGGGTATTGATTGTCAGTCTCAGACTGATTTTTCCAGAGCGTTCGTCAGACTTGATCATAGTATCCAGCTCAACAAGCTGTCGACTTTTGGGTTATCTAATGACCTAATTACTCTCTTCGAATCGTATTTTCGCAACCGTAACAGTATGTCCAACTCAATGTCCTCAAGTCTGTCGAATATGTAGACACATCTGGTGTACCTCAAGGGTCGAACCTAGGACCCCTACTGTTCAATATGTTCATCAATGATATCGGAGCTGAGATTGATGTTAATTTCCTTTTATACGAATGACTTGAAACTCTATCACAATATAACATGTTCTAACTATTGCGAACGTCTCACTTTGAATTTAAATCGAGTTGCTACATGGTGTAGATTGGTTCCTTAAATATAATAATATGGTTTTTCACCTACTGCTGACAAATTGTTTTCGTCAGGAGTTATTTCGATTCCGGATAGGTTACCATCTTTATCCTTTAATATTTCCCTGTTATTTTTCACCTTCCTCCATCGAGTCAATGTCTGCTACAATGATAGATTTATGATATTCCTTAAGCGTAGAAACTCGTTGACAAATCAGTATCGTCCATCACAATTCTGGATTTTTCTATACATTTTTCATTTGGAGTTGGAAATGTGTTTTTATCATTCTCTATTTCTTATATTTGATTTAATTTCTCGTACAGTTTGCACGCAAATCCCAGTGGCCTCAGCTATTCGTTCCTGAACCTTCAAAGTTAAAATACAATATGGGTTACAACTTTATTCATTATCACCATTACTTCTCACTTCCGTAGGAGGAATCGTCATTTCATTCGCCGTTGCTTCCGCTTGCAAGAATCTCGAGTCCCAGAACATGTTGCAAGTAAGCAGCCAATAGAAAGGACCACAATGAGAATTTGTCTTCAACCTGCTTCGTGAAATCAGTCGTTATTCATTAGGAATTTGCTTTATCACATGCCGATCACAAGATAAAAGACGGTTTTCAATCAATAGAAAGAAACACCCCAGGAATCCAACATGAAACTCATTCCATCCCGAGTAACGAGACAGAGAACAGTTAAAGTGTCGCCATCAATTTCATTCGGAGCGTATTTCCCAATTTGTAACAATTGGGAGCTGCAAATAGGATAGATATTGGAACGATGAAACATTTCAGGATTTTATTTTCATATTGTTAGTATCTATATTTATATTCAATTCAGAAATTGGAGTAGCACGGGAAAGTGGTGGGGTGAAAAACACCTCCACTTACTTTTATATAAACATTGAATTACACGAAAGAAAAATTCTTTCGAGATAAATACTCTTATATTAACACTGAATTACACAGAAAACAATTTTCTCTACTCAGTTTGTATTCCAAACATTCGTTATGAAATTAAATCAGATATCATTCACAGGATTTCTACACAATATACTAAATGAAAGGTAATAATTTCACTTACATAGAACACTGTTATGCTCACTGGTAGCGTCGAAGTAATCTTTATTGTGAATACTCAAAGCTATCGGCATCTCAAAGGCCAAAAAAACCAATACAGAGATAAAATGCCGCTGCGAACTAGTCCACGTTGACTGAAGAATTGGCGGTTCGAATTATATAATTTTTACTTACCGAGTTTTATGATTGGCTGAAGAGTCATAAAATTAAATTTGAAGTGATTTTACGGTGACAAAAAGAATGTGGGGTTGAGTATTGCTGTTGTGTCGGCAATGTTCAGTTCAAGAACTGATCGCGATTTGAGTGCTGAAATTCGATATTGGTGCAATTATAATCACTCAAAATTTTTATTATCTGGTTAAAATGTTGCGTCCTTGGACAAGTACTAATAGTAATAACGAGTGTCATAACAACGCAGCCTTTTTCCTGTGTAGTGATTCCAATAGCGATGGTGAACAATGCGAAAAAGAGATACCAGTGAATAAGATTCGGATGCATTTGAATATTGAAACACAGAGAGTATATTTCAATGTATATAAGAATCTACATCTCAAGTTTGGTTTCGAGGGAAACAAACTATTACAAGCAACATCAGATTTGACCAAAATTCCTTTCTCAACTGTACGTAAAATAGTCAAAAACAAATCTTATGAACGCAAGACGCGATGTGATACAGGATTACCAAAACCTTTAGATGTTCATATAATAAAATCATTGAAAAAAACAATATACGACTGTTACAAAAGCAATGAAAATCCTACAACTGAAATCATAAAGAAGAAATTGGATACTTCCGGCCACAACGTATGCTGCTGTGACAAAACTCTGTAGAATTGGATAAAGAAACTAGGATTTAGATTTAAAATAATAAATAAACGTCAAGCAGTTATAGAAAGCCGAAGAATAGTGGAATTGCGTAACAAATACTCAGGACAAATAACTAAATAAAGACAAGAACAACGGCCAATGTTTCGTTTGGACGAAACTTGGAGTGACACTCACGACACAGTTATGAAAGGGTGGACTGATGGTTCGAGAATGTGTACGCCTAACATGCCTGCAAACAAAGGATCTCGACTAATTATTGTGCATTGCGGAGGAAGTAAAGGATGTATTCCAAATCCTTTGAAAGTATGTGAAAAAAAAAAACTTGAGGACTGCAATGTTGACTATCATAAGAACATGGAAGCTAATATTTTTGAGGAATGGTTTGAGAATACATCGATCCAAAATTTGGATGCGAAAAGTGTAATAGTTCTTAACAACGCTTCTTATCAGTCGCGACAGCTCATCAAAATACCGAAAAACCAACTACTTGAAGTTTTCAGACAAAAACATTTGAAAAAGTGTATGCCCTTGAGAGTATTGGTAAAAAGTATGGACACACCATACTGAGACTTCCTCCCTAATTTTGTGTTTTCAATTCCATCGAGTTGATTTGGGGAAAATTGAAACAAAGAATCAGGCGTAAGAATAATTTTCCAAAATTTGATAAGAAGGTAATAGAAGAAGTATAGTTAAAGAGGAAGTATCTAATATTACCTAAGAAGACTGGCAGAAAAGGATTAAAAAAGTAATTTTAGTTGAAAAAGACTATATGGAAATTGGACACTTCCATATTAATAGTGGAAATAAATTCATTATTGATTCAAATGACGACAGTGATAGTGATGCTGAAATGTTTATTGGTGTTCACAGTAGACCAGTTTCTATTAGGGATTCGATAATATCTCTGACACGTCTGTGGTATTCAGACTCGTTTTTGATAGTGAAATTATGAGTATCAAAGATATTATCTGAATCTTCAGTCATTTTTTCCAAATCTCGAGCCTCTTCACTGTCGCAAAGCATTGTTTTCAGCATCATGATGGACAGCAATAGCTCCAAATTAACGAATTTCTTCCAATGTTTATGTAGAGTGCTGAATGGAAATAGATCTTCAGGATCACACGAGAAATTCCTGAGGTATCTGCATAAGACTTCGTAGTAAAACTTCAGATATGTTTCATAATCACACAAGATATCTTTGGAACTGTGAAGAAAGAAGAAATAAAGGATATCCACTGCCGGAGAACCTACTTTCGTTAGCTGCCAGTCAATAAAACACACTTTTGTTGGTTTGGATGTGTTGGTTTCATCCTGGAAAAATAAAGTATTTCAAGTGGCTGAGTATACAGTTTATTGAGGCCAATATTAGATGGACCAAAGAGTTAGTAGGCTGACTCACAGTTGGAGCTACTAGTATTGAATCAATATGATTTTTAGTCAACCCTAACCTTCAAAAGTCACATGTAGATATTTGACAGCTGTCGGACTAATAACGAGTGATTTTTTAAGAGATATAGGATTTGATTTTCAAAACAACACAAAACATTTGAAAAAATTGATGAAATATTTATTGGAATCGATAGAACAATCAATATAATTCAATGTTTGAAGATGATTTCATGCAAATGTTGTCCGCGCCTCTGCTTTAGATGGCCCATGCGCAAGGTACAATTTTGGCACACTCTCTCTAACATATCGACCGGTATTTCACGTATAAATGCTTCAATATTGGCTTTCACAGCATTAGTCGTTGCTGATTTATCCCTGTAGACATGAGCTTCAACATGACCCCACAAGAAATAATCTAAAGGCTTTAAATTACACGATTTAGGCGGCCAATTGACGAGCCCCAAACTTGAGATAAACTGTTCACCGAAGACGGCTCTTTGTTTCGCGTGCCGTGTGGCATGTAGCAGCGTCTTGTTGAACCACATCTCAGGCATGTCCAATTCTTCCATTTTGGGAAACAAAAAGTTGTCAATCATCACACGGTAGCGCTCGCCATTCGCCGGCCATTGTCGCCTTTGAAGAAGTACGGCCCGATGATGCCACAGACCCATAATCCACACCAAACATTGACTTTTTCGGGATGCATCGGTAGCTCTTGCAATGCTTGTGGCTGGTCTTTACTCCAGATGCGACATTTCAACCAGAAATGAGCCTCGTCGCTGAACACGACTTTTCGATAAAAATGTGGATCTTCCTCCAACTTTGCCACTGCCGATTCACCAAATGTTAGACGTTGTGGGAGGTCGTGTGGCTTCAATTCTTGCACTAGCTGTATCTTATAAGGTTTCACCCAAACCCTTCCGCAAAATTTTCCACGTAGTGGAGTAACAGAGGCGCAATTGCTGTGAACGGCGGCGAATCGACATTTCACGGTCATCACAAACACTGGCGGAAACAGTCGCAATATTTTTTTCGGTCCTCACTCTACGTATGCGTGTTGGTGGTTTAATGTCCAATAATATAAACTGGGTTCGAAATTTGGTCACAAGCTTCCGAATAGCTCCCTCAGTAGGCCGACGAAACTGCCCATGAATTGCAAGAAATGCACGATGCACTCTCTTCACCGAGCATGAATTTTTATAATAAAAGTCAATAATTTGCAAGCGTTGTTCATTCGTAAGTCGAGTCATGGTTAAATCATAGACCAAACTGAATAAGTTTGACAATGACACAAGACACGATTCACGCGTGATCTGTCAAAAACAGTGTTGCCAAAAAGATTCCAGCAAAAAAATAACTCGTTAGTTTGTGGGAAGCTCCAAAAAAAGAAAGAAATATACAGTATTTCTATGTTCATATTATAGGTTCGTTCCAACCTTGAGTCACAAACAGATTTCCAACTGTTTGTAAATCGTTGTCAACGCGCATGTCTGGTAAATATTGGTTTCTGATTAATTTGAAATTTCTGATTGGAACAGCTGATAGTTCAACTGAAGTTTGGCATGGAATTCCAACATAACCTTGAAAAATAAATCTAATCAAGTGTATTTTTGGAGAGTAAAAGAACGTTGCAGTATTTTATATCTCTATTCTATTTACTGGGAGGTCACCGCAATAATTGATTTGTGAAATTAAAGATGTTCATATTTTAGGTTCACTTAAAGGGTTCCTTATTTTTCCTGCGCCAGCAAATACATAATTCATTTTATAACAATGTTTGCAGGTTATGTTGTTTACAAGTTGTATGAACATAAAACAGAAACAGTAATACGGAATACGCATGCGTCAGATTAATGGTTACAAGATAATCCCCAAACCATTCTGGTAGATTTCGAACAGGTTTGAGTCTTGGATGGAACAGAAAACTGATAGTTTATTAATGGTTGGAAACTCACGTTGTAATACCTAGCAATGTCAGTATTTTAAAACATAGAATCATTTGCATGAAATCCACAAATTTCACCGGCGACGTTCGAAAAAAGAAAGTATCGCTTTAAGAAAAAAAAAACAAAAAAAAAACGATTTCAGTCATGAAGGAAATAACAGTTTAAAATTTAGCGGCTAACTTATGTAAGAACACTTGTGGGTCATATATTATTATTTCAATTACGGGACCGCTGGACGGAAATCTTGGATAAGATAAACAGCCTAGGTCATAAAGACTTGTAGAGTGGCGACGGTAATCTAAACAAAAGGCTTTCGAAGTTTTACTGAGTGAACAATTTCGTGGGAAATCGAAATTCTGAGACTTGAAACCGAGCTTAGCGTCCATTAAAAAAAAGGCGGGGTTATGGGTTAAATAATAATCATGATCTCGACTAATTGAAGTTGACCCCGAGAGAAAGAGAGCCTCCCGGAATTGGTCAAGGGAGGTGTCGAAGATTTTGGAACAGGGAAACGGATTTTGAAAAAGAAGCCGGGAGAGAAGCAGTGGGAAAAGAAAAGTCGTGGACGGAGGTCTTTAAGCGTAGGGAAGCGAGGAGATAGAGCGGAAAGAACGCGCGGTCGAGCGTCTTATTTAAGCGATAATAAGTAATGTTTTAAAGATTTGAGAAATAGAGCGATTTATAGGGGTTTATTAGGGAAATAAAGAAGTGTTAATCTGAGCGTATGAGCGTATATCTGGCGGATTTATAGTGAAATTTCGGAATAATAATTTTGTCTACCGTGGCCGGTAAAGCGAGTGAATTCTCTCCGTGAAGTGAGGTTTTTCCACGACATTGAATAACGGATTACTACGTCCACTCGAGATCGAAACTTTTGGATTAGCCGAGGAAAAATTTGGAGAATAGTCGTTGGTGAGATTTTATGTACTTGTCTGAATAACATTTGTATGAATTTTGGGAAGGAGTTAGCCAAAAAGTAGTTTACAGAGTGGCGCAAATGTTTTTCGTGTGTTTGAATTCTTTTATAGTTTCAAGCCAGTATTAAAATGTCATAGGCTGGTCGAGCTGAGCATTACAATCACTCTCACGATAGCATAGTCGGCGAAGGCACGCAAAAATAGATGTTGACGTTAGGACGTGAAAACTAGTAGTACCTTCAGTAGACGGTTTAGTTTCATTTAATTGTTTAGTGTCTTGCATATCAGAAATTCAGTTTGTTTTCCTTCGCCGATTCTTAGTATTACATTCTTCTGTTGTTTTGTTGTTCCTCAGTTTTTATTTTTTTATTATTCAATATAATATTTTATTCACAAAGTCGAGTTTCCTTTCAAAACTCCAACTTCGTAACCTCCTAGAAAAGAAAAACAAAAGCTGCGAACTCTCAAATTTCTAAGAAAAAATCTACTTAAGAGCTTTTCTTCGTGCAAAAGGCCGAATTCATGTTTTCTTTCGGACATAGCCTACTAATCCAAGAAAAAAATTTGATGTGAAGTTAGTACTTCACAGAGTCCAAGAAAAAGAAACCCAAAAATTTTACAACGTTGGAACGCAATCACATTACTGCGCAAAATCCTGACTGTCAGAAACTGTTTCTGACGCTGGTTGGAACAAACCTTATAGTACACTCACCTCATATTTGAACAACATGTTATTGCACCAACAATCACCATGTGTAACAACTATGTCATAAGCTGGGTCTTCACTAGCAAAATCTTCAATTAATCCTGACTCAGCCCTTCGTACGGCTTCTATAAGCGAAGAATTATCTCCAACAATCTCTAAAGCATTTTTGATAGCGTTTGTCATAAACATATTTCCCATTTCATCATTTTCATTTTGGTCAGGTTTCTCGAATACATGAGTTTTAATGTTTTCAGTGAGATTTTTGAACATTTCTGGTTTCAATTGCCTCATCGCCAGAGAGGTAGCGTGAAATTTTGCATACTCAGCTAGAACTGCTTTTATATGTTCCGAGTTCATAGGCAACTTACGGTCCCAATGGGTGTAACCACTTTTCTTCAGGTTCTCCAGAAAAAGACATTCATTTTTTTCATCGATATATTTTCCATAAAACTTAGGAAATCCAACGAATGGGTTAGGAACGGCATATTCTTCTTGGAATTTTTTGAATTCGCTCAGTACTGATTCGTAAAGGTGAATTTCTCTGACGTATTGTTCGTGAATAGGCATCTTTTCCCGAAATACTTCACCAGAATGGGCAGACTTGCATATCAGCTCTAGACTTTTGTTTTTGTCTTTGAGTGAAACAGATGTTATAATTCCGAAATAGTTGTCACCTTTCTGTGCACCAGGTTGGGCTTCCACCTGATAATCTGTGAAACCATTTTGATCGGCTATGACCTTGATGAGGCGTTTTTCCGTTTCAGATAGTTCAGTCGACATGTCAAAGGCAAATCTCACAAACAATTGATCACAACTGGCGATGAAAATCGATCTTATCTTATTTTCAATATACTCTATTTACGTCAATCTCGTTATCTTGAAGAATTGCGGTTAACGATTGATTTAACAATGGACAAGTAATCCAGTAATGGATACATGACTTTATTTCAAATATTCGAACTGTAGTCCTTGCTGTAGTTGTGACAGTAACCGTGCTAAGAAGTATTTCTTATTTGAATTGAAGGGGTTATATTTTTAGGAGTGATTAATTTTTGAGAAAGAAAGTTTTTGGCTTTCTACTACTCCATCTTGATACAAGAAACAAGGATGAGGGAATCTTCCAAGGTCTTATTAATTTCAAAAAACTAGGCGGCTAGTTTTTTTGTTATTGTGAAATGTCATTATTTCGATTGACGTACAGTAACTGTTGAATAGAACAGTAATTGTTATATTAATTCGTGAATTTTTTGTAGTATTGGTTCGAATTAATTTGTAGTAGTAATGAATTTGAGTGTAAAGCAAATAATTGAAATACTTATGATGATTGGCTATGGAGATAGATCGCGAACTCATACGGAAGTGTGTAAGTTATTTAATAAAAAATATCCAGAAAGACGCATAAAGCAGTCAGCAGTAAGTAAGATAAGTAAGGTTGAAAAGAAATTTCGAGAAACTGGTACAGTTGAAAATGCACGCAAATCAGGTCGTCCTTCTGTAAATGATGATACAAAACTAGATGTCCTACTTGCTTTTGAAGAAGATGTGCACACTTCTGTTCGTAAGGTTAGTCGTTATTTCAATTTCAGTAAAACAACTTTGAACAAAGTATTAAAATTGGAAAAATGACATCCCTTTAAAATCGAACTTCTACAGGAATTAAACGAGGATGATCCTGATAGAAGAATAGAATTTTGTGAAGCCATGATGGTTAACTGTCACCGAGACCGTCTCCACGTAAAAAATATAATTTTTTCTGATGAAGCCACTTTTACGTTAAATGGTGGGATCAACCGTCAGAATTGTAGGTACTGGGCCAAAGAAAACCCCCACTGAATGCGTGAGCATCATACACAATACCCGCAAAAGGTAAATGTATGGGCTGGCATTGTAAGAAACAAGATCATCGGACCCTACTCTTTTGACGGTACTTTAGACGGGCCAACATATCTTCAGTTTTTAAGGGGATATCTTGTATCTACTTTAATTGATTCATTTCCCAGTAGAATTAATGCTGGAAGTTTTGATGAAAGTTTATGGTTTGAACAGGATGGTGCGCCTCCACTTTATGCTGCGCCTCCACATTATGCTGCAGATGTTCGAAGGTATCTCGACCACCCCCACACGCCCTGGGGGTACGATAGGGAAAGTAACATCAAATGTGAATATGTCAAAATGTGCCCACCTGTATACTATAGTTGACGTTTTTTTTATTTTTCCTGCGAATCATTGTATCAAAAGTTATATTCAGGATGGCTCGTTATGTAATTAGTTTATGAATAATACATGACAGTTTTTTTTTCTTATTAATCAGTGGACTATGCTTGAAGACTGGCAATAAACAAATCTAAAGAAATGAACTTTGAACGATATACCTACACAGTAGTTTGAATGTACTAACGCCTATCAGAAACAACAATTTTGGAAGGTCGACTCTTTCAGTTGTATTGCCAATTGCATATGCATTACATTTTCTGTGAAGATTCCTGCACTGACGTCTGTCGGATATAATCTAACGCCCTTCGTAGTATTAGCCAGGGGAGTAGTTGTTTTCTGATAGGCGTCAGTCCATTCAACCTACTGTGTAGGTATATCGAGACTGGCTCGAACGTTTAAAGTTCCTTTCTTTAGATATGACAGTTTGTTTTCCTTTGCGTGCCTTGGTGCTATCTGTTGAAACAGTTGTTGAACTAGAAACAATTCTGTTTTTGCATTGTGAACACCTGGGCTGAGATCATTGACTATCAGAAAATCTCACAAACATTTAACAATTTTTGGTTCAGAACAAATGGAAACATCTATATGGACATTTTACATCCTTGTTTTTTTTTCCTGAATTTATAAGAATTACTAGCTTTTAAAGTCAATTGTGAGATTGGGGGAGTTCAGTTCTCAAAATATACGGTCTACCAAAAATTCACAAGCTGGGCAAGTTATATCTCCGACATAAGTTAATGTACTTATAAAACTCATAAATGGCTAACCAAACTATTTGAAACTGTCAATTTCACAAGTGAGGTTATGTGTTGTTGATTCATATGAATTCATAGAAAAAAATAAGGATGGGAAGATTTTAGTATCATGTCATGTGAATTTGCTGTTTTCAAGTGTCTAGGTTTTTTTGTTGAAACATCTGAAATGGGTGAACAAAAGTCTGTAGTATGTGACTGTAAAAGAAGGGTGTTTTTTCATGATTTTTTTACACCGGAAATAATGTTTGAAATAGTCATTTTTCAATGGTTTTGATTCCTGTGTGGCTGCAGATTTTTCCCTTTTGTTCTGGTTATGTTAAGTTAATAACTCCTTCAGCCACTTAAGGCATAACTGGGAGATTATCACATCTATTAGCCATTCAACATTCTCAGAATCAGTATACCTCCAACAAGATTACTTCAAGACAAATATATTGTCAAAAGAGGATTCAATTTCACAATTTCAGACTATATTATCATGTGGGTAACAATGCAAACCTAACAATTGAACAAAATATTTGCAAATACGTAATTGCTTAATGTTTCTATACACAAAACAATCTGTACTTGTAATTCCTTTATCTTCACTGAATGATAATTACTTTAAATCTCATACTACAAATCATTTTCAAAGTTCAATGTTATTTTTGTCTGGTGCTAATCTTATCAAACACTATGATAACAATTTAGTGTCACCTAGAAACCTCATCAAGATTTTAATTCGTTGGTTATATGCTTCTACATTTATAAAATCGAAGGTAACATGTCAAACAATCATCCATATAACACCTGGGCTTCAGTTTCAGCAATAATTTCTTCATCCGAGCGGGATTTTCTAATAGTGAGTGAGGTCTGCAAACAACCGTTGGTCGCCGAGGGACAAATCTGATGAATATGGCATACGCGGGAGAAATTCGAAGCCCATTTCATGCAATTTTGCCATTGTTTCCATTGATTTGTGACACTGTATATTGAATTTCACTAGTTCGGACTTCCATTGTCTACTATATAAAATGATTTGAAATCCCTGAAACAACTAAAGAAAAAGAATTGAAAATGAATAGCTGAAATAACAATTATATTAACCAAAATAAACCTGAAATGACATAATAGTGAAATAAAATACAAGTAAAAAAAGAACAATTGAATAAATAAAGCCTTTACACCAACGTTCCGGTCGAAGAAGCACTCCAAATCATACAGAGAAAGCTATCCGAAGACGGGAACCTGAAAGAGAGAACGAATCTACCTATAGAAGTGATTATGGAATTACTAGGATGCTGTGTACGAAGGACGAATTCTTTACACAAGATGAGAGACTGCCAATGGGATCGCCACTTTCACCAGTCATAGCCAACATATATATGGAGTGGTTTGAAACTCTGGCCATTGAAGAAGCCCACAAGAAACCTCGAGTCTGGTTAATATATGTTGACGACACCTTCATAATATGGAACCATGGGAATACTAAACTAGACGCCTTCCTGAAACACATCAACAGCGTGAGACCGTCCATCAATTTCACAATGAAGATGGAAATCCACAACGAATTGCCATTCTTAGACTTTTTGGTGAAGAGGACCGACACTAAGTGGGAAACATCTGTATACCGAAAACCCACTCATACGGGACAGTATCTGAACCACGAATCCAACCACCATCAATCGACTAAAAGAGGAATCATCAAGACTCTATTAGACCGTGCTTCTGGGCTCTGTAATACGAAGGAAGGTCTCGAGAAGGAACTAGACATCATCAAAAATTATCTTCAACGGAATGGCTACTCCAAAGCGATGGTAGAAAAGACTTTGACTGGAAGACAGCAGGAGCCTCGCAAGGAAGAGAAGCCGTCACAACCAGTGCTTGCACTTCCCTACATCAGAGGATTATTGAAGAGGATAAAAAGAATTGGTTCCAAGTACAACATCAGAACCTGCTTCAGATCCGGTAACACTATCCGTAGCAGCCTCACGAAAACCAGGCCACCAATCGCGGACTGCGATTCCAAGAATTGCATTTACCGGATACCCTGTGAGTGCGGAAATTCCTATATTGGTGAAACTAAGAGGCCATTGAATGTTCGCATTGCCGAGCACAAGAAACACACACAGCGAGGGGAAACCAGCAAATCAGGCATAGCAGATCATGTTTGGATCCATCAACACAACATCGAGTGGTCCCAAGCTGAGATCTTGCAAAGAGAGGAACATTGGTTTAGGAGAAAATTCAAGGAAGCCATATACATGTTGTCCAACAACGTATTCAGTCAAGCCAACAGAAAAATAAGCAACATATGGAAACCCATCATCAAGCGAAAAATGGCCAACTCCCGCCAAACGGTCATCTCCCACGGAACCAGTGAAGCGGAAAATGGAAAGCGGGGATAAGTGAAAGTACTCGAATGACCTATAAATAGTCATCTCTCGGAGGAATCAGTCCAGTCATCACCCGAAGACGATTGTAGATACTAACAATCGAAACGTCGTGAACTAACGTGACTTGGAATCTCTCCACTTTTTATTTTTATTTTCTTTTTTCATTTCTTTATTTTCATTTATTCAATTGTTCGATTTTTACTTGTATTTTATTTCACTATTATTTCATTTCAGGTTTATTTTGGTTAATATAATTGTTATTTTCAGCTATTCATTTTCAATTCTTCTTTCTTAGTTATTTCAGGGATTTCAAATCATTTCATATAGTAGACAATGGGAGTCCGAACTAGTGAAATTCATCATGAAACATTGTCAATCACCTTCAAACAAACACTGTATATTGTTTTGATGGAGCAGCCCTTTTTTTCTCCAAACATTGTCGTTTTTCCGCAATTTCGACCTTCAAATGTTCAAACAACGTTATATAACCAAGACTTTTCAGCCTATATAGTAAACACCAAATCTGATGAACATCCTCCAGCATTCTTCTAAAAAACTATAAGGAAAAATTTACTGGGGATCACAAGAAAACTTTTACAAATTCTGGCGTGATCTACGAAGTCTCTTTTGGAAATAATACATAAATGATTGAATAAATATATTTTTGTATATTTATAAATGTACATGTAAGTTTGAATTCATAACATGAAATGTTTGATTTGCAAGTCACTTCAAATGAATTGATGGTTTGGTTTGGACTTTGTGGATACTGATTTATTTTTAATGATGTAGTTTTAACTTTTTTGTGATGAGTGTATCATTTATTGTATTACATGTAACACGACCCTCAGTCATGAAATTTGAGCTGGTGATATGTCGGATGTTGACGATCCGTGAAAATGGTGAATAACTGTTATTATGGAAAAAACACAGATTCCAAGACATTAATACCGAATATATTTGAAATAATAACAATGAGTACAGGACGTAAATTTGAAATAATACTAACTAGTTATGGAAATAACTCACATATGGAAATAAACAAGCAGTGTTATAGATCATACCTAATATATGTATAACAAAAATTTTATTCTGTGTTATTTATTTTTACAAGCAAAACAATTATTGATATTATTTCAATGAAATGTAATCATGAGTGAGATTTCGAAATAATATTTACAATTATGTAATCGTTGTTGCTCAATATTACTTCAGACACGTAATACTAATAACGTCGCTTTGTTTACTTTCTTCATTATCGATTCTGAAAATACATCAATCGAATACTTTGAACACAATTTTCTCCAGAGCTTATCAATCATTTCATCTCTTCTCAAACATTAATTTTTTGTGAATAAAAAAATGGAAATAATTACAATAATATAAAAAATTATTTTAGACAGTCAGACAATATACATAATGCAGACAATTTACACCTGAACATTTTTCACAAATTTTGATGTTACTAATTATCATAAATATTCTACCCAACCATGTTGGATATAACCATAAGCTAAAGAAAGAGCTTTCGTGTCAAATTACCCCTAACGACTTCGTTATTCTTCAATTGTTTCAAACTATTGTTAATTTACATAATTTTTTCAAACTGTTCCTTGTTTTACTGAAGATGGGTGGCTCACTTCTCTCGAAACACGTCTAATTGCCATTGAACTCCACTGTTTTCAAGTTTCTGACATACAAATAAATTTATTATATATTATGTGGAGACTAGATTCTGATTTTGATAATAATAATTGGGCTTTGGAGTAGGTATTTATACCGACAGCTGTCATGTCAGAATGACACTAAGCCTCATCTTTGTTAATAATAGTTGTATTCCAACGTGTAGAGCATCTAATGAAAGAAAAAAAATGTTGAATTTATTGCCGAAAAAAATAAAGAAATAGGTGATGCTAAGTACTAAGCTGTATCTCTGCTAATAACAATCGATCGTCACTTACTTGCACGTCAAATAGAAGGAAAAGAAATGTTGAATTCATTGACAAAGAAAAGAGTCCTATCTTCGTTAGTAATAGTTGGATCTCAACGCGCAGCACGGCCAATGCATCGACAAAGGAAAAAACAAAGACGATGCCAAGAGGGCACTGAGTTGCATCTTCGCTAATAATACAAACAAAATGAATTTACAATGTATTGACACCATTAGAAAAATAATGGGATTTTGGGCAGGGATCTGTATAGTATATTCTCTGAGGAACATACAGTATTGAGGAATTAATTTCTACGAAAAGTTGAAAAGTTGTGCGATATTGTAATTATCACATTATTTCATCAAAACATTTTTTTTTGATTGCTTTATGCATTCGAAATATGATGAGTTTCTCAAACAGATCCGTATTGATCACACATGTTCACGTGAACTCTGTGGAAATTAAATATCTATCTATATCAATCTAATTATTCATGTTCTAACAACATATTATGATAACAAACCAGTATCAACCAAAAACCTTATCAAAGTTGAGACTCTTTCATTATATCCATCAGCATTTCTGGACTCGAATGAGAAAGATGACATAACATCATTCCCAGCTTCAGTTGTCGCCGCTAAATCAGGTGCTTCATCAGAATCACAGTACATAATTTTCAATATCATCATAGCCATATACACTCCGAATTTGATGAAATGTATCCAGTGCTCCTCTAAGAGACTGTAAGGAAAAATTTCTTCAGGATCACAGGAAAATTCTTTCAAATTCTGGCAGACGGTGTCATGATACAATTTCAAGTATTTTTGATAGTCGTAAAGAACTTCCTTTGGACTGTGGGCGAAGAAAAAGTAGGTTAGGTCAGCGGCAGGTGATCCAAATTTTGATAATTGCCAATCCAAGATGCAGACCTTAGAGATTTTCGAGAAGTTTTCTGGTGTCTGTAAATAAATATTTCCATCATTTATTTGTTATATCAGAAAACCTTTTTTGAAAAATCGTACATAATGCACAGTTATCATTAATTATCTATTTTCATACTTAGAACATCATTATTGAAATATATCGTTGAAAATAACTGGAATCATAAGTTTTGTCACTTCTCATTGGTAGCTTCAAAGGATTTCTATAGCTAGGTACAATTTTTATAGTGATATCTCATAGATCAATAACCACGAACTCCAGTAACGACAGAGTCAGCGTTGTAACTGTGCTCTACTTTGTGAAAGAAACTCTCGTAGATCAATAGATAGGAATCTCTATATCTTCGAACATTGAACTTTTTTGATAATGTTAATCGACATGTGAAGTCTATACTAAAAGACCTGATCCATTAAGAATATAACCTTTTCAGAAAAATAGCTAGGAAGCTAGCGAACAGTCTAATAACACGCTAGATTACCAGATATTTGTCCATTGGACTATTTTCAACTAGAGTCGTTTTAGAATAACTGAGCATCATTTTCTCAGAGAAATATATTATTAAGCTTCATTTTTAGGATACACTGTTTTTTTATTCAAATATTCACGTGGTTGAGTTTTCCGCTCTGAATTCTTCGAGCACAGTGTCAACTCTTTCTTGAACGTTGAACAATTTTTTCTACTATGAATAACCAGAAACGGGTAAAGAGACCAACTTCGAGCAAAATGTTTTCCATAATAGTTTCGACAGAGCGGTCCATTTTCTGTATCGAAGATCCATGAACATGTGGAATATTTTTTTCAGTGTAGAGGTCTCTGAAATGAGTACTGCGGAAAGTCAATTGCATCATAAATAGGCGAGTTATGATCTAAAAAAAGCATAGGCCTCTCAAATCATAAATGTACGTCCAGATGTGTTATGAATTCATTTTTCACGAGCAGTTGGACATAAAAAACACTACTCGATAATATTTGCCAACGTTTTGGCAAATAAGTATTGCTTTCCTCAAGACTGATCGTTTTAGTGACTAGGCTCTAATAAATTTGGATTCCTTCATTAACATTCACGAGGCGTTTGCGTTTGAAAGTTTATGTATACTTTTCCAGGCCAAGAATTTTTCTGTTCGGATTGTTCACGGTATAAAATGATACTAGATGGAGCATGTTGCTATTTGTCGGAAATCAGCTCATCAAGAAGCCTAAGAACGAAACGGCAACAATTTTGTCATTGAATTGACGTCCATTCCACAGAAAACACGCTACGGAGGCTCCGAAGACTCGTTTGCGTTTGAAAGAACTTTCCAGGCCATTAATTTTTCAGTTTGAAATGTTTACGGTATGAAATGATACTATATGGAGCCTGTGAACATATCAGGAGTTTGAATCTTCCTCTCCATGGTCTACGATCATGAAAGAGTGGCAACTGGTGCTATTTTTCGGAAAGCAGCTCCTCAAGAAGCCGAAGAACGAGGCGACCTACATTTTGTCATCCAGTCGACATTCGTTTAGCAGAAAACACGCTGCGAAGCCCCCGAAGAAGCGACTGCATGGTGTTTTCTTCAACGATATCAAAGACCTCGGCTTATCATCTTCTCAGGTTGAGGAGATGGAAGTGAACAACTGAAGTTTTTATTACGGCCTACCAGGATGCTGTTTTCTTCTCCATAGTCTACCGTAGTCATGTGGAAGATATGGAGATTCCTGCGGGGCCTGTTTCGAGGCACATGAGAATCCTTTGCATTTGTTTTTTTGCGTGTTCAGCATATAGTTTCTCAGTCTATATCTATCGACATAATAGAGGATCCTACAGGTGTTACATATCACTTCAGGTACGACTACGGTGACGATGAAAAATAAGCCTGAGTAAATTCTACCCAGACCTCGAGAGATTAGAAGAATTCAACCTCATACACAAGTCAATGAAAATATTCTTGGACAGTCAAGCGGCGTTGGAAGCTCTTGGCTCTTATCGAGAAACGTCTTAATTGGTAGCAAATTGCCAAAAATCCTTGCGGGTTGCGGTATAGACCCACTCACTTTGGACCCAACTTAACCTACTCAGACCTCAAAATCTCACAGGATTACTGCACTTTGCAGACATATTGGCCGTATCTTAATAGATATTTTCATCGGGACACGGAGCCCTCTCCGCGATTCCCACCCGTGGACCTTCGGCCCGGGGGCTCGAGGTGTCGGAGCTCCAGCCCCTAGAACGTCTAGTATCCGAGTCTAGCCCCAAGGGTGTTGGGGCAGACGTCCGAGGTGCCGGACCGGAAAGGGGACCGGATTCACTAGTATCCGATCCTGGAGGCTACCGAACTGCGAAAGCAGGGTGCAACCAGAGCGCTAATTTTAAAAAAGGCTTCATTGTTCCTCTGATCGTGGGACTGGTATCTCGCACGCTGATGAAAGTCCTGCTTGCATCTACAACCAGGTGCTTGTGTAAGGCAAAAACCAGGTTCAAGGGTGGAGGAGTCAAAAGGATAAGAGGTTGTGCTTTCAATGACGGCAACCTGGAAATCTTCCTAAAGTCCGTACGGTGCGGACAGAATCACAGGGGCAACTGATATAGTGCTATCTGGAGTTGTGGCGTCCCAGATTTCAAATAAGATTTACATGTAATATTCAGGTCAGACAGATATCAGAGTGATTTAACAGTTTCATTCGAAAAAATAATGAATATCTGTTATTCGTATTTCATGGCTTCGTTATTGTTGCCGTCATTACTTCCATAGGATCTGAGCTTCGGAAAAAAGAGACTAATGGGCACAAACTTTCGAGTTATTGGAAAGAAGTGACAAAAAGAAAGAATCAACCGCAAGTTCAGAATTTTTGTAATGTAACTGTAAATACTCATTTACCTCATACTTGAACATCAGATTATTGCACCAGCAATCTCCGTGGTTGACCACTAAATTCCACTTCGGGTCCTTCATTTCATTCTTGAAATATTCAGGTAGAGACGTTCCCAGCCTCTTCAATACGTCCAACAAATCTGGTACTCCTTCGAGAGCTTTGGACCCGTTATTAATAACTGCATCTATGAATGACTGAAATTTCACCTGATCGTCCATATCTGCTTCAAAAACATGTTCTTCAATCCCACTAGTTAGATCCTCAAAAAGATCCGGATTTTTGTGCTTCATTGCTAATGAAACCGCGTGGAATTTAGCGTATTCCACGAAAACTGCTTTGATATGTTCGGGGGTCATCGGAATCTGCCTATTCCAGAGTTTATATCCATTTTCCACAATGTTTTCCATCACCAAACATTCGTGTCCATCCTTGAGAGAGGTCTCATATAATTTGGCGTGTCCAGAAAATGGATTCGAAATGATGTAATTATCCTGGAATTTCTTGAACTCCCCGAATATCTTCTCGTAAATATATATTTCTCTGCAGAACACATTGTGAATTGAAACAGCTTTTCTGAGAGCCTCACTGGTTGATGCCGATTTAAGAATGACTTCCAGTTTGCGAGCATCATTTTTAATAGTCACTCTCGTTATAACCCCTAAATAATTATCCCCTTTCACTGTACCGGCACACGCAGATACTTCAAAATCATCCGTGAAGCCATTTTTTCTGGCCACGGAGTCAATAATAGTTTTCTGTTCCTCACTTAGTAGCACTGACATTGTTACAACTCACTTCCACTGATCACAAAATCACTATGAATTAGTTTATGGGATGATGATGCGTGATGCCTGAATAGATATAACCTTGTGTTGCGAACAAATAAATACTCGTATTTATTCAGCTCGCTATTGCGGATTCAAATTAATTTCAAATTAACGTTAATGAGTGTTTTGGAACGTGTCTATCAAAATTGATATATTATGTAATGTCGATTGGAATTCTTATTGTAGAACTAGTTATTGCCTGCGGCTTCTACACCAGGGTCAATAATTTTTGAAACAAAAAAAAAACAGTAGGATGAAAGAAAAGGAGGGGAGAATGAAAGAAAAAATGAAATTACGGGAGATCTGAGTTCGGGACGGGTTGAGTTTTCAAGGGTAAACAATGGTTTATCTCGATTTCAGGTGAAAAAAACATCTACAACTTTTGTATTTGAACTTTTTTCACATACATTCAAAATTTGTGTGAAGACTTCAAATCACCAAGTTTTTGGATTTTTATTTTTATATTTTTCAAAAAAAAATTCTACGAATTTTGGTGAAAACTTACCTTTGTAATAAATTGATGGATGTAGCCGTTACTACGTGGTAGGAAATTATAATGAAGAAAAGAGAAATGGAACTTTCTATGTTTTTACCACTTTTATTTGTTCTACTAACGTTACTGCTGTTTCGTCCTATACGGACATTTTCAAACTCATACAATAAGTTTATATAAGTTTATTGTATAAGTTTGAAAATGTCCGTATAGGACGACACTGCAGTAACGTTAGTTACAAATAAAAGTGGTATAAAACATGGAGAAAGTTTCATTCCTCTTTACTTACCTTTTGATTATCAATCAACACGCTTTTATTAGCTGTGTGTATGTATGTATGTTTGTTTGTAACTCTCCTTTCTTCCCATTTGGATGTTCGGGGTGTGTATTTGACAGAATTATCGACAGTATTGCTTGATCTATTCGCGAACAGATGGACAAAAAAAGGATGAGGGAATCTTCCAATGAAAGGAAGGAACTAATCAATTTGAAAATAAGTAACGCTATACATGGATGTGTAGATCATGCAAAGAAGTAACTTTCAGACACAAACTGAAAGAAAGCCCTTCTGAAACATCTACTTTCCTATAAACATTGAATTACACGAAAGAAAGAAATTCTTTCGAAACAAATACTTCTATATGAACACTGAATTATACAGAAGAAACTTTTCCCTACTCAATTTGTATTTCAAACATTCGTTGTGGAATAAAAATCAGATATCATTCACATGAGTTCTACTTTAAATGCACTTACATGGAATACTGTCATCCTCACTAGTATACATCGATGTTTCGCCTCAGGACACTTGCCCTGAGGCTCTTCAGTACCGAAGTGGTTAACATTATAGAAAATACACACTATTCATTCATGAATTACGATTTTGAATGTCACGGAATAACATCGATGTATACCGGTGAGGATGACAGTGTTCCATGTAAGTGCAATTTCTTACCATTCATTCAAAGTAGAACTCATGTGAATGATATCTGATTTTTATTCCACAACGAATGTTTGAAATACAAACTGAGTAGAGAGAAGTTTCTTCTGTATAATTCAGTGTTCATATAGAAGTATTTGTTTCGAAAGAATTATTTTCTTTCGTATAATTCAATGTTCATATGGAAGTAGCTGTTTCAGAAGGGCTTTCTTTCAGTTTGTGTCTGAAAGTTACTTCTTTGCATGATCTACACTTCCATGTATAGAGTTACTTATTTTCAAATTGATTATTTCCTTCCTTTCTTTGGAAGATTTCCTCATTCTTTTTTTGTATCAAGATGGAGTAGTAGAAAGCCAAAAACTTTCTTTCCAAAAAATTAATCACTCCTAAAAATATAACCCCTTCAATTCAAATGTATTTCTTTATTTGGAAAAAGTATTTTTTTTATTAACACCTTGGGTAGCTCCTTGGGCTTGGTAGCTAATTTTCAGGGTCCCTCTCCGGAATTAGAAAATATCAATGGTCATTTTTCTGAACAATATACGGCTAATTGATACCAAAGTTTAGATAAAATAAATACAGTTTAAAAAGACTGAAAAACACGCTTTTATAGCATATGAAACTGAAAAATGATAAATAAATATAGTTTAAAAAACTGAAAAACACGCTTTTGAAAAACATCGAAATAAAAAGTTGAAAATATTTTTTTTTAATTAGCTTAAAACAATAACGAACGAAAAATCCTAGTATTCTTGTGAAAAAAGCGTGGGCGCTTTGTGCCATTTTTTTTGTATATCAAGCGCC